TTAACACTGAGACAAGTGAAGGCAGTTATCCAATGTGACCATCTAAAGCTCTGTCATGTTCTAAAAAGGCTGCGCGCAAGGAGTTGCTGTTCATCGACTAAATTGTCACACTCTGCCTGTCTGCCATGCCATGTTTTGCACTTTTGTGTTTAGTTATCTCTGTGCGCATTTACGCACGAGGCACAGCAGGGTAACTTAACTGATTATTTGAATCTAGATAAAAGTTCTGTTTCTTCTGGAGAGTTCAGTCCTGTCAAGTATGGTTTTTAGTTTTGCTGCTTAAATGTCCCTCGATATCTGTTGTGACTTCACTGCGCATACAAACGTTTTAATGTCCGAAAGAAGCCTCTCAAATCATGAAAGTAAATCCCTAAAGAAATCATCTACTGAGAGAGAGATGTAACCAACGATATGTGTTGTCTGAATATCTTCCTTTGTAGCAATGGGAGGTCTCAACCACTCTCCCCAGTGAGACCCAAACCTTCTCCAGTAAGTAATACAATAAAAACATACAGAACATTGCACCTGATCACCACAAATAATTTGTTGAGACTGCAACTGGTTTCATTTTTTGTTTTTGTGGCTCTCAGAAACATCTTGGTTAATTTCACCACTGTCCGTGCAGCCACCACAAAATACCACAAAAGATCTGCACCACTGACTGCAAAAATGTATTTATATGTAATTTTTAACCTAATTTAAAATGTTCTTCTTTGAATAGTGACAAAGAGAACCACCTGCAACTTGTGAGGGATTATCAGCCCAACAATGTTGAGCTCCAACATCTCAGAGTCCTGCTTTATAGACCCGTTGGTTCTGGCAAGTCCAGTTTCATCAACTCTGTCAACAGTATCTTACAAGGCAGAATGACTGGTTGAGCTTTGGCAGATGCAACTTCTCAGGACAGCTTCACCAAAAAAGTATGAATAATTTTTGAGTGCAGTTTAACCAAGGTCACACACTGTAAAACTTCATGGCATTTAACAACTCTTTCACCGTGTATTTAATGTTTTATGTGCACCTGTAATGACCGTTGCAGTACACACATTGGGCTCGCAGCAGTGTAGAGCAATTTCTGGTGATGGAACTAGTGAGTAAGAGACAAACTGCAACAGGTGACACTGTTGTCATAATAAATGTCCCTTTCTGTTTTACAGTACCAAACTTACAAAATCCAAAAACAAGGACCAGAGAAAGTTCACCCTTTTGCTTTCTCTGACATCATGTATGGAACATCAGAGTGTCAGAACTGAATGAAAGAATATATAAATAAATAAAAAAATGGGGAAATATATCAAAGAAAGAATGAATGAATAAATAATAGGTAAATAAATGGGGAAATATATCAAGTAAAGAATGAATGAATAAAAGAATAAATACATACATTTGCTTTAGCCTTTCCCCAAGGAGACCTATTGTCATTGTGTCTATGAAGATTCTCAGTCATCCAGGTCATAGTTATCCAACGAAGGTTAAAATGAAGGGCAACTGGACTTGGTAGAAGCTACTGGAAGACGTTTCGTCCCTTATCCAAAGGACTTCTTCAGTTCTGACTGACTGGCAGGGAAACTCAGCTATTTAACCTCAGTGGGGTCGTTATCCCGGGTCATCGATACTGCTGGTTCGTTAGTGTTCATTGTCATTGCTTTTTCCTTAGAGACCTATGTGTATTGCTTTTTCCTTCCTCTTCCTTAACTGTCAATCAACGTGTTGTGGCCCGCCCACTAAGTCAGGTCGAGCAGCCGATGACCGATACTATCTTCAGTGTGGATATGCTGTCCCTGGAAGAGTGTTATGATTGATAGAAAGTTTAGAAGGAGTTATGCTGCGTTCAAGACCGGTCGGAACTGGGATATTCCCCAGTTGAAACTTCAGACTTCCCACATCAAAGTGTTCCAGGTGCATGGTGTTGCATGACACCTAAAGTGAACAAAAACCATGGCTAACTGTGACAATGTGTACACACAGTTGCACCCTCAGCAGTGTTTTAGGTGTTAATTAAAGGATGGTAGTTTAACTGCAACAACTTAATACAACATAAATAGCCTATAGTTACTAGTTAAAGGTTCAGCATGTAATATTTATGAGGATCTATTGACAGGAATGCAATAAAATATCCATAACTATGTTTTCACTGGTGTATAAAGACATTGCATAATGAACCCTTATGTTTTTATTACCTTAGAATGAGCTATTTATATCTACATACAGGAGGCACCCCCTGCTGTGGAGGTTGACATATTGTGTCATCATGTTTCTACCGTAGCCTACAGCGAACAAACAGCACTACAGAGTGCATTTTGTCTCTAACCTGAAAGAGAAGTAACAGAAGAAGTAGCAGCAGAAGAAGTAGGAGCAAGAGCAAGAAGAAGTTGTATTTTCTAACTACTAGGTAGTAGTAGAAGCTCTCCTTTATTAGTAGTGGAATTTTGGACAAATGGAGGACCACAGCTATTATTTCGCACAAGAACCGACGGAGGGTGAATCTGCATCGAAGAAGCGAAAGCATGATGAAGCCAGACTTATAACGGGAGTGACGCAGGCAGAAATCATGGGTAAACATCGGTGTGGCTTTTCCCAGATAGAATGGTCTAATGAGGGGAAAATGTTTTCAAAGCGACGCCGAAGTTGCCAGTTTTCTGCTGGACAGGTAAGGTATTCCAACTTTAGCATTGCAATGAATGAGAATAGTTTACTCTTGCATCCTTTGCACTCTGATTACTGCACTATTTGTCAATATGTCTATATTGTTTTGTTCATAGTGTGTTTATTAGTGTTGTCTATTCTGTAGTTTGTGTCAGATTTTATTTTATTATTATTATTTTATTATTGTATAAGTAAGCACATCATGAGCAATGTACAATCCTGAGTCAAATCGTCATCCTTGTATGTGTACACATACATGGCAATAAAACTGATTCTGATTCTGATTCTGAAAACTGTTGTTTGATAATGTTAGCATTAGTGAGAAGCTATCCATAGACACCGTGAGAATTGACTTTTCCCTTGTCAGTGGTGTAAAATATGTAGTTGGATAGTTTCATGTGGTTCTTCTCCCTCGCTGTGTTATGGCTTTGCTATGTGGGGATAAATGTGCGTCCGTGAGACAATCAGCTGATTAGTATTAGCTAGCCTACAGCATAACAGCTCATTTTAGCCAGCTAAACTTTCTGATCTTTTTGATCATGGCCCTTTTTCGTAGAACCACAGAATGTCCTATGTGAAGATGACATCATAGGTGTCAGAGCCTCCATGGTGTACGATAACTGCTTAAGACAACTGGCTACATTTCTGATCCTGCCTGTGGATAAATGCACTGGCCTTCTGAGGACTGGTGCGCCGTGCAACTCTGTTGCACCCTTTGAGATCAACATCACCACCAAGGGTACAGCAGCTACAGTCCAGACAATCACAGAATATCACAAATTTAAATTAGTATAAAAAATAAATGTTATAACAAAAGCCCTTGACATGACAAAAGCAAATGTTTCTTCTGTGGAACTTTTAGATATAATGGACACAGCTTGTGGAGGTGGAATTGGGATGAAAGCTGGAGATTTTCTTGTCCGCCAACATTTTGTTGTTTGGCAACAACTACGCAAAGCTTGCCCTCTTGTTCAAATTCATGAACATGGGGATGGTGAACAGGAACACTTCTCCATTCAGGACACTTACTGCGTCAATACAATAAAGGACTTCTGGGAAGAGAGAAGGACAGAGGTTCTTTGTCTTCTTCAAGGGAAAGATGTTGTTGTCCTAGGTGTGTAGTTGATACTGTATTATATAACATATCTATTGAATACACTAAGCAGTAATGGAAACAACTGTTTTTCTGTTGTATTATATTTTTAAAAATTTCAACGGATGGCAGAAATGATCTCTCCTGGTCACTGTGCACAATGCTGCAGCTACACCACCATGGAGAATTACACCAAGGAGATCATTCATGTTGCTACAATAGACAAGTGGCAAACATCATGGAACTCTGTTGTCTTGGAGAAGGAGGGTTTCATCCAGACTGGACAAGCTTATGCCCTTATGAGTAAGTATTCATGTGATATATTGTATGAATGCATGTGTATAACAGCTATATTGTTGTGGTGGCAGCCCGACTGAATGTGAGTGTCCTTGTTTTTCTCCTTTTCATCAGTTATTCTGCTTTTTCCTTGGTTTTCTCTGTTCTCTGCCTGCCTCCCTGTGTCTCCTCCCCTGTGTGTGCTCTCTCTCTCTCTCTCTCCGCTCCTGAGCCCAGCTTACAACCTGCACCTGCACCTCATCAGCCACCTCGTCAGCCTGCCACACCTGCCAGTAGTCAACCTCATTCCTGCCTGTATTTTAACCCCGGTTCTCCACACCATTCTTGCTTGATCGTCATTGTTCCTTACCCGGTGCCACCTCTACATTCAAGCTCGCATGTATTCTGTTTTCTACCAATTTTCTTGTGCTTTCTTTGCAGTCACTAACCTTGTCTGTTTCCCTCCCAAGTTCACTCACCCTCGTCCTCCGTTCAGTCGGTGGGCTCATCCTCTGGTCCTCTCCCCCCGGACTTCCCCACGGCGTCCTCCCAGTTCCCCTCTCGCCTCCTCGCTTCCTCGGCCCCAGTGTTCCCTGGCTCCCTGGTCCCAGTCTCGTCGGTTTTCCTGTGCCAGTGTTTCCCTAGCATCCACCCTCCCTCCAGTCCCTCAACCCACCATCCATCGTCAACCGCTTATAATGCGTACAGGGTCACGGGGGGGCTGGAGCCAATCCCAGCTGACATCGGGCGCAAGGCGGGGTACACCCTGGACAGGTTGCCAGTCCATCGCAGGTCCCTCAACCCCTTTTCCCTCAAACCTCCTTCGCTCTGAGTGCTGCATTTGGGTTCTGTCCCCACCACCCGTAACAAATATAAATATTATAGTTACATGACATTATTTACCACTTCATAGACCCAGAAAAAGGCAAATGCAAGGCCCTTGGAATTCATCAGTCTGGACATGGCATGGTGTGAAGAACCTTGACAAAAAATAGCAGCAGTAAGTGTAATAACTGGCTAATGTTGTGACACATTTAACCATAAAGTTACTATTCTGTACATAAGAGTTATTGAACTATGTGCAGTTGATGGATGACAGTATGGAAGGTTTCATTGCACTCATAGACAGATTTGTTTACTTTCCTCTGCCAGAAGATGTGTTACTCATTCTAGACATTTGGTGAAGTCATTTAGTGTGTTTCTTTTTTGGGGGGGTTGAACATTTACATTTTCACCTCTACACACAGAGATTTATATGCAATTGATTGTCTTTACACAAGGTTTTCTCTTGTTCTACTTACAAACTGATATTAAATGGTTGTAATTTGTGTAATTTCAGTTTCAAAAGATTGTATAAGACGGTAGAAGATGCAGCGTATATGCCTTGAAATATGAAAAACCTACGATACATTGCAAAGGATTGTGAAGAACACTCACAAGTGGAGTGGGGATGCCTAGAAGGAGGAGCCTTCTCCCAGATGACCCCAGACAGCTTGGTTTGGTGCCCCCTGCACCAGCCACATCAGTCAGAAGAGGTCTAGGTAAATTACACATTTGTTGCCTATATTGTACCATATTACATGTCCCTGAACAATATTTACATTACAATATAGTCTGTAACTGTTTGATGGCACGGTCTTCAATAGGACAGTTATTCCAACCAGCATCTGATGTGGAAGGACCCCCATAGGCGATCACATTGCATGTTTCCTGGTACTTGTCAGGCAGCATCACAAGGGAAAAAACTTCAGTTCACTGACAAAGTCATATTTTTACTTTAAAAATTTTTTTTTATTTACATTAAATTTTGTCCTACCCTCCTCCAGTGGCTATTTCATGTTTTTCCAATTTATACACATTTCATCTTATTCTGCTAAGTACACTGTGAGTACATTTTCAGTAGGTAGCCTAAATTACAGTTTACAATTTGAACAGTAATGATAAGTAAGGCTACAGCTGTCCTCTATGTAAATATAACTAGAATTGGAAATGTTATGGCAAAGGTTGAAATTCTAAACACATGTACAAATGTGTATAATGAAAAAAACACCATGTGCTTCTATTATTTTTTTTTATATCAAAGAACTGCAGTTGAACAACTAACACTATAACTACAATATACATCAAATTTAAATAAAGAGGGGAGAAATATGAATATATAGAAATAATAAATCAAATGTTACAAACATTTGTTTGATGCTGAGGCAGGTTTGTGAGTATTTGTGTGAAACTATGATCATGCCAGAGGGCATGGAGGGAAATTCAGTCAGGAATAAAACTGGTGTAGTGTCCTTGAGGATAAATGTGAATAAAGCCTTCAAGGCAGTACTGGGAGAAGTGTGGCAGTAGGCTCACACAGTTCACTTGCTCCTGGCAACAGCATTTCCCTACAGTTACCACAAGTACACCAAGGTACTCCTTGCACTCCGACAGAAGGTGGGGCACCATGTCTGCGCTGACGCATCATCAAGGCATCAAAGACCAGGCCTGGCTGCCTCTCTAGCAGAAGGGTGGAGAGCTCTGTGTTCTTCAAGGGTCATCTCCTGAAGTCTGAAGAAAGAGGACACAGGGAAAAATACTCAATATGCAATATTCTCTGCTTCAATACTCTGGTTACTCTGGCTCAATGTTTTTAAGATTGTATCTGTTCCAAATGAAATATACCAGTACTCATTATTTAATTCACTATTTATCATTACACTTCTGTTGATGCTGTAAATTACTTTACATGTCCACATTACCTTTATTTAGATTTTATATTTAATTGATATGCAAGCTTAGCAATTGTGACCAAGAATTTCCCCTTGGGTATCAAAAAAATTTGTGATTCTGATAAAATAAGGCTTTATAAGTTGCATGACATTATGTTGGCAACATGGTACTGCATATTAGGGTTTGCAGGCTGCCCAGTGTTTGCTCAACTTGTATAATATGGCTTCATATAATCATTGTTGCCCAGTAAATGTTACTATCTAATGTTACAGTACAAGGGGTACATGTGCACAGAGCTGCTATGTAAATAAGTTATCACTGTGTGCTGGGGTTTGTCATAAAGTGCAAACAGGTCAGAATATAACATTACAAAACCTTATAAATACAAACCTCGGTAACAGCTCTCTGGTTCTTTGGAGGGCTTCCACTCTTTCGTCCTCTGTTGAGCCATCACTCCAGGTATGTCCTCTGCCTCTCCTTGCCCTGACTGCACCTCCAACACACTGCCTCTCCGCCTCTCTGCCTCTCTCTTACAGTTATCGCCAGTAATGTACTTCTGCATTTAGATCACATTGACATGCTGGTTCTGTCTAACGTTAGATTCTTCCTCCTTCTTCTTCCTTGTGATTTTGTCAGTTGGAAAAACGAAGGTGCGAAACCTTACCGCCACCAACTGGTGGATCAGACCTTTATACAACTCTGATCATGGAGAGAAATACTTCTGAGTGATTAGTTGGACTTAGTGGGCGGGCCACAACACCTTGATTGACAGTTAAGGAAGAGGAAGGAAAAAGCAATGGAAAAAGGTCTCTAAGGGAAAAGCAATGACAATAGGTCTCCTTGGGGAAAGGCAAAAGCAAATAGTATGTATTTTTTATTCATTCATTCTTTGATATATTTCCGCATTTTTTAATTTATTCTTTTATTCATTCATTCTTTCTTACATATTTTCCCCATTTATTTGTTCTTTCATTCAGTTCTGACACTTTGGATGTTCCATATAGATGTTCCATAGCAAACAGTAATGTGCATGCTAATGCTATAAAGTGGCAATTTCGACTTTTGGGTTTTATGTGCTAGCTATAATGCAATATACTGCTAGAACATATCTTATAACCTGTTACCTTGCTGAATAAAGTATGAATAGGCTGTACATCAGATGCAATAAAAATCTACATGGGCACGAAGCAGGCTTGTATCCCTCTCACTGTGCACTTCGAATGTTTGGATCATTATATTGTTAGCTTGTTGAATCAGGTGGTAAATTCTGCTGTTGTCTCTCAGTAGCCATGAATCTGGTGATTAACAGTATCAAAACATACATGATGTTTAATTAAATGGCTAAAACTGTACTGAATGTGGTTGAACATTAAAACCTTTTAGACTTCTGGTTACAAATAGCCTACATGTTGTTCCTTTAGTATTTTTTATTTGAATATTGGACCTGGTACATAGTGAATCATTGTGCTACAGCATGCTGTCCAGTTAAATCCCGTGTTGAGGTATTTTCCTTCACTTTGCTATATTTTTCAAAACAGTCTTGTGGTTTTACAAATATTATGTGATACAGTGGTATTGCAATAACACTTTTTCAAAAAAATCCCCAAACTGAGCTGAGGCTTGAAGTGTTTGCAGCAGTAATTTCATCTCTGTCCATCAGAGGGCGTGGCAGAGCGTAATTGGAGGCGCTTGCTAATAACAATGAAATGTGTAATAAAGCTATAATAAACTTCACGGTAAGGGGGTGCCTGTCTCATATATTAGAAAGAACGACGTATGAAATCAAAGTATTTTCATTCACCAAATGTGAAAATGTTTTCCGGTTCTTGGCATAAGTCATCTCAGGAAATTTTTATTTTTACTCTTACTGCGCTTGAAAATAATTCAGACTGTACAATGAGTGTACAATACAGTGTTTCCTGCAAATAATCTTACGTTGTTCGCATGATGTGACGTCACCACGTGATCTGGTCAGAAACTCAGCTGTTGTGATGGTGCCTCCAAGTACCGCCGTAAATGTAGGAATCAAGGCCACCTGGATGAAAAGAAACGGTGACTAATGGGACATGTCAGCTCGTGAATCTTCCTGAGCAAAATGCCATGTTGTACGCCGCCGTAATTATCTTATTTTTTTACTTAGCTGAGTAAAATGTTATATTTAATTAAAAAAAACTAAATAACCTACTTAAACCGTAGTGAATCTGGAAAGTAGCAGTTTTGGAAGAGCACTTTAAGGCAGCATGGGACAAGTGAGGGAAAGGAGGAAGATATCCACGTAGCCTGTCTTGCGTCGTAATAGTCCAGCCCTGTAATGTCCTCAATGTGTACGTTTATTTGAAGAAACGCTGCTTTCAATTAAGCGGATAACAGGCTCATAGTGGCGGGGTAAGGCGGAATAGCCGCGTTGGTCCTTGTTTGCTGAAAGGGAGAGGGCTAAAATGGAGCTGGAAGACGGAGTTG